CAGAAATATCAGTTGCTCTCTTGTCCACTTTATTTTAATTAAATAAAAATTAGGACAGAAAATTTCTAATAAATCTAATTGTTTTAGGATTATTATTCTATACATTAAAAATGGAGTGCGTACTTTCTAACTCCAAAAGCATGTTTAGATAATTCAACAAGTATTTATTCAAGTAAAGGTAAAATTTAGGTTAAGTTTTTTAAGTCAAGTTCATGAAACTTTTCATCAAAAACAATGAAATAAAAAACTATTGATAGAATTCAAAAAAGGATGTACATAATACTTAAAAATAATATTTATACACAAAAATTTATCAATATTTATTCATTTTTTAAAATAAAAAAATGCCCATTTGAGTAAAGGATGAAAATTTATTCAAATTTATTTCAAATTTTCTATATATGTTTTATTTATATTCAAGATCTTGCAATCTATTGGTTTCAAGTTTTCTTTTATTTAATTGTTACTGATTAAATCATTTTGAATAAAGAATCTAACGAATTCCACCTAAGGAATTTTACTAAATTTGTCATTATATATACATATGGTGACTTAATATTGAATTTTTGTTCTTAAATTTCAGTTAGGTTGAATTTGCCATTATATTTTTGTTTTGACTTATATTTGAACAAAAATTTTCCAATAGTGCATGAAGGGTAATTGTTATCTTGGATATCTTAATGTGCTGCAGACAATAAAAAGAATTGAAAAAGAATGACTTGGAAATTTATAAAAAAAAAAGAAATAAAGGAAAAAGATGTGTTGATAATTGTCTCGTATGTCTCTTATAAAATTTTACGTCCTTCTCTTTCTAAAATTTATTTAACAGTAAACAAATTATTTCACGAAATATTTTTTATTGTTAAATTTTTTTATAAAAAAATCAACCAAAATAAAAATAAGATAGCATAATTCGACACAATTCAAATAAAAATTTTAAGTTCAAATCAAAATATTTTCTAAACACTTAAAAATTGATAATTATACTGTATAATGGTGAGATGTTTCTTTAATAGTAGACCTACATACATAGATGTACGTATGTATGTATGTATGTATGTATGTATATATATATGGATCCAAAAATATACTTACCTGGACATAATTGGAGGGTGTTTAAGAAGGTGGCCTCCAGTGCACTTGGAAATCAATGTATTTCCCCAAGGTCTCTCAAACTGAAAGAGCTTACTACTATATACATAAGGAAAAACATTCAACTAGATCAAGCATGCAAAGAGGGTGAACTGCTTCTAATCCTGCAATGGGCAAACGCACAAGGGTCTAACAGAGAACCTGGACACATGCAGGCTTGGACTTGGTTAAGGCCCACTGCCCCAGGCAGGGGCCTCCATTGGCCTTGGGATGTGCACTTGTTTAAGGTCTTCCCAAGTGGAAGAGCCTACCTCAAATTTTGTGGCAGCAGAGGCCTGCCTTTCGAGGCCCTTAACCCAATATCAGTTCAAGCTTCTCTAATGTCAATTTCAGATGAAGCTTTCATTGAATTGCACTTGGTAGATAGATGGGTACACAAATTTCATTCTGACCGTGTCTTGTCTTGTTCAAAAACTTGGTTTCAAAGGTTTTGATAATTTGTTCACTTCTTCTCCTGTTTGATTGGATAAGATCAGAGAGTAATTTCTTAAGAATTTTGGGCTTGATTTCTTGAAGTTCTTAATGTTGGCTGTTGTTTCAATCTCCACTCAACTCCCAGTTTTGAGAAGCGACTTCGACTGAAATTTGTTTATGGATTGGGTTTTTTTAAAAAAAAAATTTGGAGATTGTCATGGCTTGATGATTCTGTAGGGGCTGGTCTTGTGATTTTGTGATGATCCTCTTGGTTGGTATCTGTATTAAGACATGTTTGCTGTGTAAATAAATCAATCTAAATACTTTATCCTTGTTATCAAAACTTGAGATACCAAGGAGAATCGAACAATGGCCAATGAACAGAAAAGGGAAAATAGAAGCTCTTATTAAAGCAAGTGTGTAGATGATTTCGGTCAACGTATTACTAATTTTTGAAGTGTTGTTTTATAGAGTGAAAATGAATATAAAATAACTATGTCTTGGTTACCATATTATCAATTTTTTAAATGTAGTTTTATTGAATGAAAATAAATATAAAACAATTATGTGATAAATTTATAAATTATTTTTATATTTTTAATTTAAAAGATATGACTAACTAATTATACAACATTCTTGTTGTACTCTTTTTATCCAAACAAGAGATAAGTTCTTACACTTATTCAGTCTATCTCAACCCTGATATTTCTCATCATCAATAAATATATCTATAAAATAAAAAACCTCTCATATGCCTCTCATCAGCAGTTAATATATTTATAAAAGAGAGAAAAACTTATATTAATCTAAGTTTACTTTAACTTTTCATGAATTTCATGTTAATAAAAATTTAAATTATTCAAATATTATTTATTATATATTAATATTTTTAACTTAAAAAATATATACATAGATAAAAAAAAGTCCTTATTCATATACGTAATTCATCTCATTTCTTATTTCCTGAGGTAGCGTCCATCACATAGGCCTCCGACCTGTGATTGGGATTTCAAAGATTTAAGGGAGAAATCAGAAATAAATGTTGGAGAAGGGAAAAGAACAAAAACAATGATAAGAACCGCCCCAAAATTTGGCCACCAGTCTTGTCTTAATCAATGCCCATAATCATATCTGAAACGGGGTCAATATTATTCATTTACACAGGGGATCATTTGACCTGCAGAAATTTCCTGTAATGATACCGAAGAACAGCTAAGCCATCAATCAAAGAGCAATAAAAGTTTTCCTTATCTACTGTTTCTGTCTGTTAGCATCTCATCCATCTCATGTTAATTAATGTTTTTTCTAATCTTAATTAAGCCACTTTAACTTCAGGTTTAATACAACACAACCCCCCCGAGATCTTTGTTCACTTCATTACACGACAACAATTCCGATGGAATCTCTCTGTTCGATGACCCAAGCCTTTGAACATCTTCTCTTTCTTTCACGTGTGAGCCCTGCATCATCCCACTCGCTGCCACTTTTTCGTCAGAAAGCAATCTCCGCCGTCCATCTCGTAAAGTCTGACTCCCTAATAGATTGGTGCTGCACTATTCGGTGATCGCAAGATGAATGTCTTGCACAGTCATCCCACGTGCACACTATGCTACTCCACATCACGCTCGCCAAGAGAAGCTGCAGAGGAGGGGGAGGAAAAAGAATCACGCAAATTGGGGAATGGGGGACCCGGAGCGCGTGAGAAGCACGCCCCTCATCCCTTGTTCTCGAGTGAAGGAGTGATAGTGCAGGGCAGGCAGGCAACAGCATGTGAAAGGGCAATGGGCTTGTTCTCAATTGCCCTTTTACATGGGATGAAGACAAGTTATTCCCCACAAAGGGCCACTGACGCCTCTGACAGCCTCGAGAACTGAGAGTGCTTGACCTTGTTTCGGCAATCACATTCCCCAAATTACTGACTCTATCACTGTGCATTTGTAATCTGCTCTTCTCTTTCATTGTTTCGATTCCTAAATTCATTAAAAATGCTGAAAATTATGTCTCTCTCACTAACTATTGTATAGGATGACAAATCAACTTAGCTTAGGTTGATATATTTAGAACAAATTACCTACTTTGATACGAATCACTTTTATAAATTTAGTTAACGAGCATTGGTCCTAGTGGTTAGGCTATTTCTTTTTCTTCTTTCGTGTTCAATATATATACTGTTATTTCTTTCTCTTTCAACCTTAATCGACTTGGGATTTAGTATCTATGACCTTTTTTTTGTTTAATGGTGATAGAAGTCATCTTAGTGATACTATTCTTTCACGTACATAAAATAATTTTTTTACACCATATTTTAAAAAATCTTTGAACTATTTAAAATATAAATAAATAAATTTTTATTTTCTATCATATTAAATTAAATTTTTATATTTCATTTTAAATTAAATATATTTTTTATAATTAATAATTAATTTATTATTATTAATCAAATTCATCACTTGTTATTTTTATATTCACATAACGTTAATATGAAAAATAAAAATATCATGTGATTATATCATCATTTTACATAATTATACTCTTATGTCAGATAAGCATGTACGTCATTATTAATTATGATATGTAAATATATCGTATCAACACTATATAATATAAAAATAATAATCGATAGTTTGATTAATAATAATTAATTAATCGTTAATCATAAAAATCTAATGAAAGTGTTTGATTAAATATAATAAAAAAATAAAAAATTATTTAAATTTTATAAATAATTCATGAGTTTTTTTTCTTTTAAAGATAAAATTAACAATTTTATATGTAATTTTATACTTTATTTCTCTTATTTTTTGATCACCACCCATTCCATGATAAATGATTTGTGATTACAAAATTTAGAGAAAGAATAGATATTGTATATTAAATAAAGAAAATACATAAAGTAGAAGCATGTGACTCTAAATATGTGGAAAATATTGTTGATGTGTGGTCTAGTGTTATGCCAATTCATATATATATATATATATATATATAGGTGAATTAGAGTTAAAAAATTAAGACAAATAAATAAAAACTGCAAGTATAAAAAAAAACATAAATTTGAAGCATCCTAAGAAGAACATCCATTTAGAGAATAATTTGGAAAAGTAAGTTTCTTTTCTTTTCTGTTTTTCTTTTATTCTTGAGTGATGAAAAAGAACAATTTGGAACCGTTGAAAAAGGGGTCATTGCCAGATATAAAAGTGCAATTTCAGTTTTGCACTGCAACGGTAGTCAAAATGTATGAGCTGTCTTGAATTTCTTTTCCATTTATTGCTTTTATTCAATATGAAACTCATAGAAGCAGTACAGGCACATCGCCAGAGCTCTCCCAAATACAGTATAGTAAGTAGGTCCACATTGCAACAGGCTTTATTTCACATTTCACCAACAAAGAAAAAAAGGAAGAAAAGAAGAAGAAAATCAAATAGTGGGTTTACCTTGTCACAATGTGCTAATGTAACCAAACCCTACTTTACCTTTGGTCTCTTTTATCTATAAAAGGGCTACCGTAGTAACTGCAAAGTGATGGTTACCAGGCCTTTATTTTTCACACTGCTCAACCCTCTCTCTTTCACACTCCATAGAACTTCACAAGCTTCAGCCATGGAGGCAATGCTGAGATCTCTGCTTACTTTTACACTCTTCACTCTTCTGTTCTCCCACATTTCAGGTACTTTGTTATTTTCTGTCATGTCCGTTTAAGATCTGTCACTGCCAAACAATGCTAATGTTTTTCAGCATTCTCCATCCCAATCTTTCATACTTAACTGTAAATTGCTCTTGAGTGAGGTTCTGCTTTTTAACATTGTTAAAGCACACATGTCTTGAGGTTGAGCTTCTAATTTTTAGCATGGTTTCTGTGTAGTCTTTTGGCATTTGGATATGTTTGTGATTTCATACTTTATGACTTCATTTTTTTTTTTGTTTTTAAAGTCGAGGTATCAGCGACGACAATAACACTGTACAACAAGTGCGCTCACCCAGTGTGGCCAGGGATCCAACCAAGCGCTGGCAAACCTGTTCTAGCCCGTGGTGGCTTCAAGCTTCCACCCAACAAGGCCTACTCCATGCGTCTCCCTCCTCTCTGGTCAGGCCGCTTCTGGGGTCGCCACGGTTGCTCCTTCGATGCCTCTGGACGCGGCCGCTGCGCCACTGGGGACTGCGGTGGCTCCCTCTTCTGCAATGGCATCGGCGGTGCCCCTCCAGCGACCCTGGCGGAAATCACCCTCGGTCAAGAACAAGATTTCTACGACGTCAGTTTGGTGGACGGCTACAACATAGCCATGTCGATAACTCCTTTCAAAGGCTCCGGCAAATGCAGCTATGCAGGGTGCGTTAGTGACTTGAACTTGATGTGCCCTGTCGGGTTGCAAGTGAGATCCAGGGATAACAAGAGAGTACTGGCTTGCAAGAGCGCTTGCTTTGCTTTCAACTCGCCAAGGTATTGCTGCACCGGGAGCTTTGGGAGTCCTCAGTCTTGCAAGCCAACTGCTTATTCAAAGATTTTCAAGGTCGCTTGTCCAAAAGCTTATTCTTATGCTTACGATGATCCCACCAGCATTGCCACTTGCACTCGCGGCAGCTATTTGGTCACTTTCTGCCCCCACCACCGCTAGATTAGTCTTTAGGCTAATCGGTCCCATATTCCCCAAAATCCATTGTTATTTTTATATTATACTTTATAATTAGCATCCAATTTGGTTGTTATATCTACTTCTGTCCTCTCTAATTATCCCTACATATATATACTTAATATTACTTGGTCTGTAGTGGACTTCTATTAACGGAAACATCAATTTTATATGGCTGTTGTGTTTTTCTGCTTAGATCTACGCTGCTATCAGACTAGAATGGAGAAAATCGGGGTGGTCTTTACTCTTTACCCACCTTCAACGCCTTAGCTATGGTTTAGATCTTTGGACATGGGTTGACAAGGAAAGCTAGCTTCTGAAAAGTTTAAAGAGAAATAACTTTAGAAAAGTAGGGTTGTATTGGTCAATTGAGTGTCACGACCCTCTATAAACTGAAAAACGTGCTGCCGGTAGCTGTCAGAGTTGAGGACAGCTAATATTTCCCCTTTTTTGTTCGTGTTCTATGGGTTTCTCACCATTTCATCTTCGTGCTGGTCTACAGTGAGGGTTTAATGCCAACTAATATAGTTATTTGCTTTGGTAGATATATGTACAGAATCGTAGGTGACATAAACAGGGTTTAATGCAATTATAATACAAATAGGATAGGAACTGCTTTTTAGGAAGCATATGTACGTATTTATTATTGAGTGAACGCATTTATTATTGAAGGAAACAAGAAAAAGGTAATCTCGTAAAAGGTGTTGAAATTTTTGTTTTATGATCAAGTTTCATTTGATTGTCACTCTATTTTTATTTTTTTAACAAAAAATAATAGAAAATGGAAGATAAAAGAACGATGATGAATCAAATGGAGTCTTAAGGATTTGATAAGGCATGTCATAGTATGAAACATTAACAAAAAAATAAAGTAAATGGCATTCACTGTTTTGAAATTTTGGAACGAATATGATTTGGTCACAATAATTTTGTCATAATTTGATAAGGCTTTATGTGTTCGTTGTTAAGTTTTTTTTATTATATTTAAATAAATTTGTATTCTTGTATGTTAGAAGAAAAACTTGATCTATCAAATTCGAAGCTTTAACATCATCTTACAAAACTAACAAGAGAATTTAAATTGTATATTGATGAATCTTAATTATGTATGTTTCATAGAAAGGAATATATATAAGGCTAATTCTAATCATATTATTATCTTATTTAGTTGACATTTTGACATGGCAAAAGACGTGGCAAGTGACATGGCGAAATATGACGAGTTGAATGTCCTGGTGAAAGATGGCAATTTGAATATCGTGGTGAAACACAACAAATTGAATGTTATGATAAAACATGACATGAGTTGCATGACATGGCAAAAACATGACATGAGTGAAACACGTAATAGTTGCATGACATGGTAACACAACATAAAACATTTATATATATAAATTTTTAAAAACTTGTATCATTATCTTAACAATATAAATTTTTAATTTGAATGAATTAAAGTTATTAGATTTATTGAGATTAGTATTTTCTACCTACATGATATATAATATGGCATTTAATATAAAATAAATTACATCATGTCATAAATGACAAACAAAAAAAATATAAATCGATATTAAATTTGATAATTATTAATTTTTAGTTTAAATTTAAGGATTTGTTTGGATATATTCAAAAAATAATTGCATAAATGATCAAATTTGAGAGCGTTTTTATTATATAAACATAAAGTAATTTGTTGATTTTTATACTTTTTAGTTTATAATAAAAATGATCTTTTTGTCAATATCTTCATTATTTGATTTTAAAATGCTAGTTGACAACGCGTGCATGGCACATGGCAAACATATGTTATGCTTCATAAAAAACATGAAGCCCGATCTCTATTCCTTTTCTGAAATGGCGACAAAAGGGGTCAATTTGGATCTAAACCGTCGTCACAGCATGGACTGGGCCAAATTCAACCCACTGCATCACCAACTGCCCCTTAACTTATGAGAGACAGAAGTAGGGGTGTGCAAACGGTTAGTTCGATTATTAGATATTCAATAACTGAATTAACCGAACTCTTATTTAAAAATAACCGAAACTGAACTGAAATATATAACTAATTGAACTAATTCGGTTAGTTCGGTTCGGTTTTCAAAAACTGAACTCAACAATTTTTTTTGTTTGTATATATTTATTTATGTTATATTTTTTAAATAAATCAATATTACGAAATATTAAAAATGACCTTAAAAAACTATAATAAATAAAATAAATACATTTCTTTCAATTGCTTTACAATAATATTTTTAATCACAAGATCACATACATGTAAATGTTGGTCTAAATGTCTAATAGATACAATGAAAGATAATGAATGAAAATGGCTTTTAATGGCTGGAGGAAAATAGTATAGGAGAGTGATAGAGGCTTAGGTGTAGTGCTGAGTTTCTTTTTTATTAAATTCGGGCTCCTTTGGGTTAGAGGGTAGGAAACTAATTCTTTTTTGTTTTTAAGCTTAAGTTAAGATTGAGAAATTACCATAAGAATTAAAGCGGTAGTTGTTTTATAATTGTACAATTTATGATCAAACATGGACCAGTTATTATATGCTAAAAGAAGTATTTGTATAAAGACTTCAATTGGCATAAACTCTAGTTCTAATAAAATTTATTTTTCAAGAAAAGAGTCAAACCCAATTAATAGAAATTGACTTGAGCTCGTAAT